GGTTCATTTTGTAACCAGCCTGACCTCTGCTGTTCTTAAATGGAATTTGTGTTTTTAAATTTGTGCAAACATGGTGTCAGCCTCTGCTTTGCTGCTGCTTCGGCTGCCATTGAAAAGGGGAGGGGGGGCATGGTATTTGGGAGGGGATTACTAATTGTGCTGGAGGAAGATTCTGGAGTTTCTGCTGCCTGTCTTACTGCGCATGCGGAGGAGGTTTCCCGCCAAGGCCAACGGCACCGATGTTCGATGCCTTTCGAAGTTATCTCACACCTGACACTTGGGAGAATTATGATTGGACTGTAACTGGGATGCCAAGGGGTGGGGAATGGGTTATTCTATATATCATTTGCTTTCGCGCCTAAATAATCAGTCTTCGCTTTGCTACGCTTCTAATCATTTATAATTAGTAAAAGTACACTTGATTTCTATCAATGGAGTCTCGTGGTTTTCTTTCCTGATTATCCAATGAAGGAGTGCTGACAGCAGTAGGGTGGGACTTGTCAATTTTGGTCCATTTGAAATTTTGTTGAAGCCCTAAATTTAGTCTGACTGAATCATTTTGGTAAATAGTTCCAACCACAGTGTACTGTCTCCCGAAGGATATGCATCTCTCTCTCTCTCATTTTTATTTTTTTTTAAAAAGTTTGAAAAACCATATTTAATAGCTGTTGACTGCTGAGTTTTACTATCATATTATTGATAGTTGATCTCTTCTTTGGCTCTATAAAAGTTCTTTAAGCTATGCTAATTACATCATAATGTACTTTTGCTTCTATATGATTGAACTGTAAAATGTATTTTTATTTCTATAATTTTAATGAACATAAATTAAAATGCTACCTTTTAAAACAAAAAAGAATTCCAAATAGTTCAGAATCAATTCATAAAAAACATTTAAAAGCAGTTCCTAAATATTTAAACTATAAGCAATTGACCATTATGCATTTAAGAACAACTAGAAATTTGAGAGAACCGGAAAATACCACTGCTACATAAATAATGAATACAAGTCAACAATTCCTTGTACTTTGGGAACTTTGCCTAGAAAACAAATCAATAGTATTGACAGAATTTCCCTTTCATTCAGCCTAATTTTCAAACAAGCTTGTGCTATTGTATTATTTATTTGAATCAAAATTTATATGTTTTGATCCACAGTTTGAATCACACAAATGTTATCTGAATATCCATATAGTATAAGCTGAAAGTATTTTGGTAATACAGCCAGGAGTCTTTATATTAAATTTGTGAGCTGGCATCAAAATATTAATATTCGAAAAGGAAGATCTTACTTTTTGGGTTAGTTCTTCTGCTGTGGTGTTTGGATCATATGGAATAGGATCTCCAAAATAAGTCTGCAATTTAACTGGAAAGTTTCCATACATAGGGAATATTGGGAAACGAAAATGCTCATATATCGATCTTAATAATTCTGATTAATTGAAAAAAGAGAGATTAATAGGGTAGCAGATACAATTATGTATTTTTACCCATTTGGTCATTTAAAAAATCCAAGAAGTAGTGATTCAATAAATAATCTGTATAAAATTGCTTCCTGACACAAATCTGAACAGCAAGTTAATGCCATCATCTTGACCTCTGCATTAGGAAATTAAAGCTACATGGCAGTTTGCTAAAAAATATTAAATGATAGATAAACATACAAGGCTAAAAAAACCTAGGATCTAGTGAAAGGAGAGGATACAGAAGAGAGGTAACTGCAAGGAGAAGCAGTGCTCTATACTGGTTTGTAATGGTCTGGAAAAGTTTGGAGTCTCGAAGTCATCTTCATGGAAGACGTCATCTCTAATTTCACCTAAAAGGACTGAGACACTCAGAAATCTATAGAACAGTGATGACGAACCTTTTTCTTATGGTGTGCCAAAATTGTGCTATCACGTGCATATGCGTGCCCACAACAATTCAATTCTCCTTGCCCATCTGCGTATGTGCATGCCCCCAGCCTCCGGAAGCTTTCCATGAAGCCTGGGGAGGGCAAAAACAGCCTCGCCCAGCGCCCTGGAGGCCCTCTGGAAGCCGGAAAAGGATCGTTTCCAAACTTCTGGTTGACCCTGCTGAGGCTTTCCTGAAGCCTGGGGAGAGCAAAAAACGGACCCAATGGGACAACCGGAAGTTCAAGAACCAACTTCCGGTTAGCCCATTGGCTCTGTTTTTCACCCTCCCCAGCCTCCAGAGGCTTTCCTGAAGCCTGGGGAGGGTGAAAACAGTCTCCCCTGGCACTTTGGAAGGCTGAAAATCAGCTTGTCAGTATGCGCATGTGCGCTGGAACTGACTGGTGTGCCAGAAAATATGGCTCCGCGTGCCACCACGGCTATAAAATGTTTCTTCCTAACACAAATCAGAACAAAGTAAGGATGTTGTGCCAGAGTTCTGTGGAAGTCATTACCATAAAATTTGGTGATGTCCATTAGCCCGCTTAGTGATAGCACTTACTTATATTCTGCTCTATAGTGCCTTATAGTACTCTATGAATAGTTTACAAGTGTCAGCATGTTGCCCTAATAATCTGGGTCCTCAATTTACTGACCTTGGAAAAAAGGAAGGCCTAGTCAACCTTCACCTAATCAGAATCAAACTCCTGGGCTGTAGCCAGAGTTGATTGGCAATACTGCATTCTAACCCATGGTCGAAAAGAAATATGCTTCCACCGCCTATCTGTGAATATTGTAGAGGTAGGTTGGCTATTAAATAGCTGCTTCTTGCTTTATCAAGAACTGTTCTTATGAGTTAAATTTGTCAACAATAATTTTAATTTATATCTGCTTTACTTTATATAGCAAAGGTATATGTTGCTGCCTCATATTTTCCCCACAACAATTCTGTGATGAGTGACTGAGCCACAATCACCCAATTGGGTGTTATGCCTAAGAGAATACTAGAACTCAGAGTGACCCAGTTTCTAGTCAAGCAACTTAACCACTATACTAAACTGGCCTTGTAATTGAGTTTGTCAATGTTTTCAGGTTTTTAGATTATAAAATTAATCTCTCAAAGAAGACATATCAAACCTCAAAAGCAAATGATAAAAAATTGTTGTCATGCAGAACAGCCAACAAATTCTACATGTCCAGACTGTAGTGTAATGTAGTGATTAAAGAGATGAACATGGATTCATCTGTGGTACTTAATTTTGTCTGTCCTTCATGCAGATCTCATGACAACTTTACATTAGACAGATTAATATATTGCAGAGTATTGTTGAACTGGCATTAAAAATGGGGGAAATCCAGATATTTCCAAATTTCAGTTGCCGCAGAAAGACAATATATAAATGAAATAACAACAGATTCCTCTTGTATAACAGGGCAAGCAACTTATTTATATATTAGAGCGGGTTATTAAAAACCAGAGCATTTTATTTAAAATCACTTCCAGCACTATAGGCATGAGAATCAAAATGAGCTCTAATCAGGGCGAACAAAATATAATAATAATTGACTTAATACAATGCAATCCAAATAAAATTGCATACTTATTCCTCTTCCAACTACTCGAAAATTTTCCCGAATATTTCGTGTGAACATAGGAATGATGGGCTGAAAGAATAGATTAATGGAGATATGTATTAATTTATTTCCCATAATAAACTGATTTTTTTTAACTAAATTACAAAGTTATATACTTGGATCTAAAAGCAGATAAGACAGATTAACTGAAAAATGAAGAGGAACAAGTATAGGAAGCTATTTCTTTGTCACATTTCCATCTAGTAGTTGATGTAAGAAACTAAAGTATCTTTTTCTTTTTTTGCAAGCACTCAGTGGGTGAATTTTGTAATTTACAGGGAATTTGAGTCTTAGTCATCCATTCTGAGTCAAAGCTTTTCATTACAAAATTAGATAAGTCTCCAATTATTGCAATTTCAGTCTTCTATCGGGATTATAGGGCTGCACTCTGAGAAGATTTGAACTACAATGTTAAGTGAATTGATTTTTTGCGCTGCTCTATATACCTGCAATTTTATGCATGAAGTTCATCACATTTCAGAAAAACAACCTTGTCCTGCAAGCAATTAACAAAACAGAAAATTATCTAGGATCTTCTTAAATTTTCTCTTTCATCAAAGACCTTATGGAGAAATCTGAGGTGCTGGTAATAATCATTTTGTCTGCATTAAGAATGGGAAAAGCATTTTGCAAAGTGTATTGGCACATGCAATGCATTCATGCTTAAAACATTCATTCAGCTGCTTTCTCTGAAAGCTCAGACAACTCCTTGAAGCATTTCTTATGTTGTCTATAAATGTATGTGAGGCAATATTTTAAGTGGCAATATCACCAAAGCAAAGCAGCTGTGCATATACATTTGGGAAAGTTCCTGAAAACCCATAGAAGCTTCTGAGGGCTGTATCTGCTTCACTGCTTTAAAAAAATGGGGTTTTGCTGATGCCAACTGGCTTTCCAATGTGTCCCTGTGAAGACTGCAGTTGAAACAGTTATGCATTTGTCACTATAAAAGTATCACACAACCAAAGAAAGCATAAGAGAAACCCCAGAAAGACTACATTAGAATTTGATTCATAAACTTTGGGATTACCGGTATTTGAATTGTTCAATGTCAGCTATAATTAGAATTAACCTGGTATTAAGTAAAAATTACCACATTTCATAATCCCACAACATTTATATAAATATTATGGGAAATTTGTATTGAGAAATCTGAAGAGATACTTTCTCTTTTGCCCTTTTTAATGATATTTATGACTCTTTTTAATGTGTATAGTTATAGAATTACATCAGCTGTTTTTATATGACAAGAAAAGCCAAACAGAAGAACAGACTAGAAAACTGCTCCTTTCCCATCCATTGCCCAATGTCAAAACCACTTTTTTCCTAAATTCTTTTTTTTAAAGTTGTTTTGAAAACTTGGATAAATTTGAAAAAGACTGAACTATTTTTAATTGATTTTTTTTTAAATACCATGTTTCTTATTTTCTTTTACCCCTGAAATAAGCACTTGGCTTTATTTTCGGGGACGTCTTATTAGTTTTGAAGTACAGAAGACGGCAAGCGTTGTCAGCTCATGGCTGCTTCTGTGTTGCGCATCACTGCACCTGTCACTCTTTTTGCAGCAGCCATTAGCATGACAAAAGGGGCACCGTGGCGAGGATTGCAGGAACAGCCATTAGGTAAGGATGTGTGGAGTGCATGGTACATGTTCCCCCTCCCTTTCCCCCCCTCTGGCCTCACCTCCTCACTTCGTGTTGTTTGCGCAGCAAGCAACCAGAGGAAACGGTGGGGACCGACTGCATATGCAGTTTATTTTTGGGGAGGGCTTATTTTCAGTAGAGGGCTTATTTTAGCACATCCGCTCAGAAGCCCAATTTGGCTTATTATCTGGGGAGGTCTTATTTTGGGGAAAACAGAGTAATATTAAGTGATTAAAATGTAAATTAAATTGATTTGCATAAGGAAGCATACTAAATCAAGGAACATGTTTCATTACAGTTTCTAGAAATGTGTGAAAATTATTTTTAAAAGGATCAGAGTAAGTAGAACCTGGTACCTCAGATTCTTGTAAAGCAAAGTGAGACTGTAAATAAGCTCTATAGATACAGTCTGATACTGGTGTGTTTCTTTTTCCCCTCCCTTCAACAGTTCTTTTATAGTGATGTATAAAGTAAAAAATTACATTTTTTAAAAAAAAACTACATGATTTTCAACATTAAATTTCCCTTTCTTGCTTCTAAGCATTGCATACATAAACAGCTGTAATCTTATATTCCAGTTATTCCCACAGAATACTCACCACTTTTGTGTCAATGGCCACTTGAGCAAACCCTTTACGATTTTTCCACATAATAGTATAATTTTCATCACTGAACAGTGCTTCCCGTACTCCCCCTGGTGAAATTGCTACCAGTCCTCCATTTTCTAATACTTTTCTACATTCTTCCTGCGATCCATGCAGAACATGGATCACGTCAATTAATAACTTTAAACCTGGAATTCATAAGAATCTGTTGTAAGATTAATATTGATATAAAATTATAATCTCTCCATAGATACTATATTTTATCAGAACAATGCAGAATAAACAATCAATTACAAAGCAGGTGTAAATTATGAGAAAGACATAAAAAAGGATTAGATTTTCATCAATCTATATCTAATCAAATACTTTCAAATCAACAGTGATAAGAATTATAAATGTACAATTTTTTTATAGTGATAGTTTTATCCTAATAAGAAATCTTCAAAATCTTTCTTATATTTCATGATAAGAAATTTGAAATCCAAAGCCAATACAATGGTATATCTAAGTTACACTGCAATTCACTTTTCTTTTAAATAGAATGCAGCTGTATAAGACTTCTGGATAGGAAACTAAATTTTAACAAGCCATACTGGATTAATTAGTAACTGAATTTATTGTTATTTAAAATAAGAAAATAATTTAGTTTACTGCTATCTTTCAATATATATCACAACTTAAATGTGAAATAAAGCTTATCCATATTGTACATTATTTGAGATGTATAATTTTTCATAATTGCTCGGGACAATTACCTGGAACTAAAAACACAAAATGATCAGCAACAACATGGAGCATTCTTTTTTTCCTGATCAAAACAGTGGCTACCAAGTAGAAAAAGTCTACGGGAGTTACTCCATGATAAAAAATAATAATTGCTGGTCCATCTGGTAGTTTTTCAAGACCATGCACCTCATAACCTGTTATGGACAGAAACATTCACAGTTAGCATTTGATACCAGTTTATTTAACAAAATATTCTTAAGATATTAAAATTATGAAACTATAATTAGTTATGAAACTAATTATGATACTAACTATAAATACATTACAGTGCATGGCAATTATTCATTACATTATAATTCCATTTCAGTTGAATATCTTTGTATTAATATTCACTGATTTTTTTATTACTCATGCCAATCAGATATATGGCTTTTTTGTTTTGGAGAATTATCATCTTCAAAATGAATTTGGGCTAGCTGATGAAAAATAACACAGGTCTGCGACTAAAAAGCTGTTTGATTATTTTCATCTAATTTCCATGTATTTTGGTGTGCTGAAAACAAATAAAATATTGAAAAAACT